GAGATAAATAATTACAATAAAACACTTTTCCAGGATGACAGCTCGTTTTATTATTATTGGTTGCCAACGCAACCAGTGTGGACATCACAATTATGCTGTTTACTGTGTGGGTTTTAAGCTATAACTCGGACTTCGTTGCAATATTCTTGCGTAGTCTATTTCAAGTTTGTATTTCACCGGTCCCCTCCAGACTACTGCACAGACCATCACATGTTAACAAATAAACTATTTAATTTATTGATATTTTTACTCTAAGTATAATTTATTGATATTTTTACTCTAAGTATAATTTATTGATATTTTTACTCTAAGTATAATATCATCCGGGGATTTGATACTTGAAAAATTTTTCCGACCACGACGATACAATGGGAGCTAAATAGACTTGTTTACAGTTTATTCTGTATGATTGCGATTTTGTTACCGGTCTTTAACAATGTTGTTTACAACGTATACGTGTAACATGGTTCGAATGGTTCGAACTTTCAAAAAAAGATTTTTTTTTATAAAGTTACACAATAATTCGGTAAAAAATAGACACCAGTATTCTTCCAGCTTAGTTTTGAGATAACCGATTTTAAAGAGGCTGCATGAGTTACCCTTTAAAATACATCCTTGTAAAGTGTACCTCGCTTTATATATGCACTAGCTAATTCTCGCGATTTTGCATGCATGAAATTAAAAAAAAATAATGTAAAACATAGCCTACGATACTAACAGATAACATAGTTTTTTATGATGAAAGAATTTTTGAAATCTGCCCAGTAGTTTTTGAGTTATCTTAATACATACAAAAATCCAAACCTTTCCTCTTTATAATATGAGTAAAGATATAAAATATAGCTGTTATCAATTGCAAATGTCAATATGACATGATGACAAACCATGGCAACCTTGCTTCCTTGATGTTGGAAGCAACTTATGGTCTCTTTCCCATATTAGGGTTTTTAACCAAAATATTTACCCTCTAAGTTTAAAGGCGTGAAAATATATAGCCTAAAGCGTGACGTAAGTGTAGGGCTTTTTAGTAAAAGTGGAATTATTCAAAAATATGCTGTAATTGCTGACATCTTAAGCAACAAAGTAGTGTGTGTTTACGTTTTATTATAATAGTATAGATAGATTATTGATAGTAGTACAATGCTAAACGGTTTTTAATGCCGGTTTTATTGGTCTGGTCTATAATATACCTTAATTGCTACAGATGTTAGGCTGTTCACTGTATGCATACTTAATGAAACATTAAAGACGCTTTACCATTAAATGTACTGAAAGAACGTATTGAAATAACTGTGTACGCGATCTTAAGGAAGTTTTGCATACAAGTCACCGGAGAAACATATAATGTAGGAAATATTCAACCTACATACAGTCCCCCATTGAATATTACGTATCACTCGGGTAATTCCCATTTACATGTAACAGAGTAGTGATTTTTATGGTAATTTACCCGTAGCTACATGACAGCGATATTCAAACGTAAGGTATGAAAAATAAAGACTATAATTAATTGACAATAAAGGGAATGTTATTGAAATATTTCTGATTCAGTTAAAGTATATTAGTTACCTATTATTTTTCATTCACATATTACATCTCATCATCATCATCACCAGCTCACTATACGTCCCCACCGAGGGGCTCGGAGCCTACCCTAATAAGGGGTGACTAGGCCATAGTCAACCACGCTGGCCCACTGCGGGTTGGTTGACTTCACACATATCTTTGAATTTCTTCGCCGATATGTGCAGGTTGCATCACGATGTTTTCCTTCACCGTAAGAATATTACATCTATTTATGTTATATTTGCGGTATTATTATTCAACCAAATGATTGGTTGTGTTTATTAATATAACAAATTGCTGCAATTTATTACATTTATACTCAATGTCATTTTACAATAATAATACTTTTAATAATACATCTTTAATGAGCACGCAACATTGTAATTACGTTACCACAAATAATAATAAATATTATTAATATAACAATTATTAATGACAGTACGATGGCTTACTTTAAATCTGTCAGTATTTGATTAAACGATATTGCACGAGTCATATTTATTACTAGTTTGTGCCAAAGGTTTTACTCAGGTTCCTAGGATAAAGATTATAGCTCTTGGTTACTACAACCAACATAACATACAAGTTCGTAACCTATAGGGATGAGCAGAGATTTGAAAAAGAAGATTCTGTTGGTATCCTGTAGTACAAAACACTTCTTTACTCTCTAACTAATATTATAAATGCGAAAGTTTAGACGGATGGATGGATGTTTTAGATTTTGTAGCCTAAATGGCTGAACAGATCTCGATGAATATTGGCATAGATGTAAAAGATAGTCTGGAGAAACACATAGGCTACACATTTTTGTTTTTTTTTTAATTCCACGGACGGAGTCGCGGGCTACAGCTAGTCCTAGTCATAGTATAATAACATACCCGAAAACACCTATGTTATGATACTTTTAAATATCAACACCAATATAATCGAAACCCATTACAAGATGTATCACTTTAGAGACAAATTGAAGCTAGTTGAAATAGAGGCCCAATTATTCGATTGATCTGCCTCCATTTACCTCAATAGTGGTACTTCCTCGTAACCTAATTATTGGTCATCGGATCAATATGCTCAGTGAACGCTAAATAACTGTTTATTACTACTCGTATACTTTTACATCTTACTTAAGATATAAAGAAACAAGCTAGTGATCTATATAAGCGTGGTTGTCATTTTTTTCCATTTTCAAGATCCCGGTGATCCTGACCAATGTGTTATAAATTGTAACGAATGTGTTATTAAGTAGAAAACTAATATGTTGAAAATAAAACAGCATCTAAACTCATTGAATACAGTTACGCTTTTCGAAACTCTTAGCCACGGCACTTGAATACCAATTAAGCCTTTCATTTAGCGTACGAATAGTCTAATTTGCGAACGGTCAATACATTCTGTGTACGAGATATTGCTTCGTCTTTAACACAGTTTTACGTACTTTGACTTTTAGTTTTGAAATGCAGAGACATAAGTTAAAATCGTACGAGTATATAATCTCTTTCTTCCTTGTGGTACACGGTAACATAACACACTTTCGTCATATCTTCAATCACAGAAGTTATTACCTTCGTTGCATCACCTTACTGCAATAAATAATGATTTAGAATACATTCTGTTAATGCATAATCTTTGTTCAATATTCCTTCCATTTCTTATTTAGTGAAATTAAAAAATATAACCAATGTTACTTACAGTTAAATTACCTTTCTAATAGTGAAAGAGTTTTTAAAATCGGCCCTGTAATTTTTACGTGAATGAATTACATACAAAAATAAAAATCGTTCCTTTTTATAACAGTAGTATAGATTTCTTATACACAATACATACAGAATTAAGATGTGCAATTTTATATTAGTATTGCATGATTGTTATCCTATTCAGATCTCCCTTAGTGAATACGACTCCGAGGTGCAAATTTTTCATTTGCAGGTGTCTTGACTGCGATCAACTGCATCAGTGTAAGGTGGACGATGCGCATCCAGGATGTTTTCACCTCCTCCAAGCTGCTTGCTTTAGTCATCATCATCATCGCCGGCTTGTATTATATCTGTATAGGTAAGCGATACTTTACCATAATTGGTATGTTCAATGCTATACCATAGATAGGCTTTAATAAATACAACCGAGTACGTGTTATGTGCAGCTTTAAAAGCGACCCCAAAGACATGAGTTTTTTTTTTAGATCATACGCGTCTGAAAATTTATGCCAGTAACTAAGTTCGATAAAATATTTGTATTCTTCAAAAAAGACTATTGTTAAATGTAAGCTGTTGTTATGTTGATAATGAACCAAATATCAACGTTGTTGTTAAAACAATCGGTATATTTTATTTTGATAACTGCGTGTAGCTAAAAGTCAGGGTCTTTGAATACGAGTTCCTGTTACTTTTGCTTCCAATAAATATTAAAAATGTACAAAGATTTTGTAGAAATAGAGCTCCAATTATTAAAATTCGGCTCGAAGGACCAAATAACTTATTTATATTTTGGAGATAAAAACTCATTGTTTCTTGACTAATAATTTTAGTGCTGTTGTTTTAACTTGTTAGACTTGCATTTTTATTTGTTTTAGGTCACACTGAAAACTTCCAACAGCCTTTCGAAGGTAAATACGACGCTGGAAGTATTGCGTTAGCATTTTACTCCGGTCTTTTCGCATTCGGCGGTTGGAATTACCTTAATTTTGTTACTGAAGAACTGCAGGATCCATACAAGTAAGTTATGATCGCTTTTCTAAACTACCTATTCATCATACTTATACTTATTCTTATCATACTAATATTATGAATGTGAAGTTAAGATGGATGGATGTTTGTTAGAGTTTGTAGCCTAAACTAAGGATTTCGATGAAATTAGGTATAAATGTAGATTCTGGGAGAAAACGTAGGCTACTCACTTTTGTTTGTTTCCTGAACAACCAAAAACAATTGACAGTTGCAATATCTTCGTACAAGGGATCTACTTGCTCGAACATTTTCCTAATAAATTACGTGCGAGTAATTTCCGTATTACGCACAGAGCGAGACATCTCGAGACTCGAGGCCGGGGATCTGTCGGTGCGGAACTCGGTCAAGTGCAATCATATCTGCCGACACTCATGCGTTATCGCAACATCAAAAATTATTTTGTCAAAGGCGTTATGTTAATGATAGAGCTCGCAATAACATAATGCCCTGTCTATGCCATGATAAGCATATTCATACAAGCATAATGAAAATGCGGTACCATGGTTATCTATACTAATATTATAAAGAGAAGATTTGTATTTTAGTATTTATTGAAATAACCCAAAAACTATTGGACCGATAATAAAAATTCTTACACCATTAAGAAGCTATGTTATCAATGACTGACATAGGCTATGTTCTTATTATTTTTTTTAATTTCACGCGGGCGAAGTCGCAAGCAACAGTAAACACTTTTATTTCTTACTTTGCTGATTCCATATTAAGTGGGAAAAGAGGAGAAGAAATGGCAATTCTTTATAAATAATATTGTAAATTATTGAAATAATAAATTTTGTTGTTAATTTCTATGGCAATTGATATATCTACATTTATGGCTATTGATAACGTTTTTTATATAATATAAGGTGGCAAACAGCTAGCGGCCACCTGAATCCACCGAAAGTGCCCGCTGCTCATAAACATCCGCAATTGCACATTTCCACTTCGTATGCGTCTCCTCCACCGTCAAATCCACTTTTCCTTCCCATTCTGTCCTCTTAAGAAAAGGGTGGACAGGGAAAGGAACTAAAATTAGGCCACTATAAATTTATGGTGTTCTTATAAACGCTAGCTTATAAATGAACCGAATAACAGTGTTTTTAAGTTGCTACATTCATATTTTTAATATTATATTGATCTTCAGAAAACTCGTGAATACTACAGATGAACGTAAAAGAGGTCGTTACAAAGCTGACACAGACTTTGTTCAGTTAACAAGCCTCATTATTATGACGACACGTATCTTGCGATACTGATAAAAGAGTCTTTATTTTAATCTAATACTTTTATACTCTACTAGCGTTCGCCCGTCATTCCGTCCGCGTGATATAAATAAAAAGAGAGTAGCCTGTGTTCTTCCAGACTACCCACTACATCTATGCTAAATTTCGTCGATATCCGTTCAGCAGTTTATGCTACAAACTCTCACAAACATCCAACCATCCATCTAAAGTTTCGCATTTATAGTAATACTAGCTTTCGCTCGCGACTCCGTCCGCGTGGAATTAAAAAAAAAATAAAAGTGAGTAGCCTATGTTTTCTTCCAGACTATCCTCTACATCTGTACCAAATTACACTGAAATCCCTTCAGCCGTTTAGGCTACAAACTCTAACAAACATCCATCCATCCATCCATCTAAACTTTCGCATTTATAATATTAGTTAGATGTTGGACGTAATTTTAATATAATTTATTTGTTTTTTCGCTCACTTAGAATTTGGTAACGTAGTTTAGTTTAGTTTAACATTTGAAACAAGAAATTAATGTTAGGTTCTTGTTTTGTACTAAGTTATAGCCTGAATTTAGTTATATTTCTTTCGAACCACCACTACAAGAGATATCATTACCATCACTGCTTATGAAAATGGTTTTTTCTAATGCGCATAAATTATTTATAGAAAAATCATTACAACTACATCCTACTTTGTAGATAATTGCTACAAATTGTCTAGAGAAGTCTGTTATATTTCACACGTGGGTATTAACAATGTAGAGATTTTGGCGACAAACCGGCATTGACTTTGCACTTAAATTAGACGTTTTTTAATAACTTTAATGTAATAGTAATAGAGACGATTTAATTCGTTCCCGCTACGCGTTCTTTGTATAAAAGTGAACGTGTTATATTGTTAGGAAAATGTATGTAATGAAAACTATAGATTGAATCGCAATTTGATATATTGTAAAGGTGTAGTTCGGTTACGATAGGTGTTGCCAGAGACAATGTTGCGTAGTTTTAAAAAAGTTAAAAAAAGAAAACGCCACATACAATTTTGCTTAACAACAAACCTGTTTTTAATCAAGAATAATTACGAATGTTATGTTAAGTAGTTTTAGACAATAATATAAGTAACAACGAAATTATTTCAACACTTCGACCACCGATTCCCGCCAGAATTGCGCGCATAATCTAAATGCTTCTGAATGACATTGACAGATGTCATAGTGACGGGACGCGTATGCGGATGATCTAGTGTTGCACCGCTACTTCAGCGCGGTACCGTTTTCTCCTTACAGTAGATATGTTTTATGTAATGAAAGAGCACATCTATAAAACCAAAGTATTTTTTTTCAACACTGGCAACTTATTGGTTTTTACTAGAAAAGTTTAGTAGGCTTGTTAAGCTAACAATGTTTCGCTCTTAAATCGTTCCTTATTAAAGCCAAGCCGGTATAATGAGTTCCCAGTAAGCCTGGGAATTGGATTAACCCGGTCGCTCCCTGTTAATCCAATATAAGCTTCATAGATTGACTCTCTATCTTTGTATGTTCGTTAAAAGCTATAAAACTTTGTTTCATCCTTAATTGATACTACTAGGCTTTTCATTGAATTACACTTAGTATCAGTAGAAAGTATTGAAAAACTTTATATATGTTATCAAACAGATATGTCTTACTTCATACTAATATTGTAAATGTAAAACTTTAAATAAATGGATGGTTATTTGTTAGAGTGTGTAGCCTAAACCGGTTAACGAATTTCGATGAAATTTGGTACAGATGTAGAGGATAGTCTGGGAGAACACATAGGCTACTCACTTTTGTTTTTTTTTTAATTCCACGCGGACGCAGTCGCGAAAGCTATACTAAAATGAAATAAAAGGTGAATATTGTATCAAGGTCAGTGAAAGCAAGATGCGATTTCAACAGATAGTAATGGTCAGTAGCCCTTCAATAGAAAGCAATTGATGGCACGAATACTTGTCAAGATTGGTTATGTTGGTGAGATTGTAATCAATTTTCTCCCCAATTGTAAATTGATAGTAAACGTATATCTAGACAATAGTTAATTTGGTTATCATGAGTTTCCCTTTTTTTCTTCAAAATATACTTAGACACAAGGGGATAGATCAAATTTCTTTTCAGCTACTCTGTTTCTAGTAAAGTACAATTTTTTAATTTGATATTCTTCTAATATATGCGGAAACTATTCGTATATGTCTCATAAAACGAAGCTAATATTTTAAAAGTCAGTGACTTGAAAGCTGTATCGTCGTTTAAAATAAATGTAGGAATAGTATTGCAAACAGTCGAAGACACAACGCAGATAATGTTCACAAAACATTCTTTGATATTTCCTTGATTTTTTCTGTTCGAATCACAAGGACCTTCTGTTCGTTTTTTTAAAAGGTCGGAAAACAAAGCATTGCTTATTTTAGCGACATAGCAACAAAACATTTTAACGGAAGGTCGTAAACGGATAGGTAGAGTTTAAGGTATTTCATTAGACGCGATTCCGGTACCTCTAGCACATTCATACGTCTACATATACATTTTTTTATAATAAAACATGGCAAACGAGCAAGCGGCCACCTGAATCCACCGAAATGGAAAGCGACCGCTGCACATAAACATACGCAATTGCAAATGCGTTGCCTACCCTTAATTGACGGATGAGTCTCCTCCACCGTCAAATCCACTTTTTAAAGGCTAGAAAGGTAAAGCGACTAAAATTAGGCCTCCGGCACTACACTCATCGAACCAAACGCGAAAATGCTTCCACTTCACGCTTGTTTCCTGTGTGGTCGTTGTATTGCACCGGGCGAGTCGACCCATTCGTGCGAAGATGTTAAAGCGGGCTCTACCACTGTTATCTAATGGTATGATAGCAACCTCTTAAGTCAACTTTAGTTAAATATTTTATTGGAATAACACAAAGCAGAAACAGAATGTCAATGTTTTATGATTGATAATATTTGTAAGATTACTACATAAAATACTATAAAACTACATTCTCGTAAAGCAAGACAGACTGACTTTAACTGGCGCATTGTGTTTTTAAAATAGTCTTTTATGACTTATGACATCGTTAAATTTTTATGAGATAAACCATCAATTACACTAATCTAAAAAACAAAAGTTCCTTCTGATAAATCTATTGTTTTTTTCTACTATTTATTATACTTTTAACTCTTAATAAGGAACTGGTAGCTAAGAAATAAACTTGAAGTTATCCGTAGAGTATTTACTATATAGACGCTAAGTAATTGAAATCGTTCAATCATTCTTTCCGTTTCCTACGAGAGTCTCGAGAGATTTTCAAACACTCTTCCTTTAAAAGCCCTTTATTTGCATTCAATGAGAAAGAAGGTTGATCAGAGCTTTATTTAGAAATCCTCATTCGTTTCATTCTTTAGTAATATTTTCGCTAAGAATATTAACTTCATATTTTTCTTATTTTCCCAGTGAAAGTAAAAGTGTTGGTGACCGACTTTGCTTTTAAATTCAAATGTTTATCATAATATTAATACAGAAATTAAATCGATTGATTCAGTTTACTCCACAGAGCATTGAAGTCCATACGTGTTGTGATCACTGTCTCTATTGTTCTACATTATGCCGTAACACACCTAAAAAAAACATACAGACGAATTGAGTGCCTCCTTCTTTTGGGAAGTCGGTCAAAAGTACCCTAACATTTGTCATTACATTATAGGAAATAAGGTTATTAAACTATTGTAAATAGTATTCACAGAAAGATATACGGGACGCTTTTATCTCTGACTCCATTACTACTATTGGATGAATTATTCATGCCCTCGAATGTCTATCGAGTTTTACTTTGCTGTACTGGGACCTTAGACATGGGTCGGAAACCCGTATACTAAAAGGTTATAAATTATTTATACGGAATATATTGTAGTATAGTGTTAAAACGCGCATATTAGGTTTTAAGGGCTACGTTTAAAAGGATTGTCAAATGTGAATTAAAAACCTAAGAGTTAACGTAAATATTTTATTCAATACCAAAAATTACTTAAGTAATTACGATGTTTTCAATTGTCAATCTAAAGCTGGCTTATTATTTTATCACTAGCTTTTGCCCGCGAATCCGTCTGCGTGAAATTTAAAAAAATAAAAGTGAGTATCCTATGTGTTCTTCCAGACTATGTTTTACATCTGTGCCAAATTTCATCCACATCCGTTCAGCCGTTTAGGCTACAAACTCTGACAAACATCCACCCATCCATATAAACTTAGGCATTTATAATATTAGTATGATTAGTATAGTATTACCTATTGATTCATTAGCATTAAATTTCAAAGGAGTAAAACTTAAGCTAAGTAGTTCGGAAACGCACATCAAGAATTTTTCGAACCAAAAACACTCAAACGGTTAAACGTAGCTTGGAAATTGGACACGTTACTAGGATAGTAATAATAGAATTGCAGTATTTTGTGTAATTTTGCTATTTTTCGCGTTTCAGAAATTTACCACGTGCGATTTGGATCGCAATGCCCATGGTGACTATTATCTACGTGATGGCGAACCTCGCATACTTCGCTGTCGTCTCTAAGATGGAAATGATATCGAATCCTGCTGTTGCCGCTGTTAGTATATTTTTAATCTGTTTTATGTTCAACAAGAATGAAGACATGTAGATATAAATGAAACAGTTATATTAAAAAACGTTTACATAAAATGTATGATCTAAAATCTTGTTTAAATTACGGTAATCATTGTATTTATCAGTAATTGTTATTGTTCTGGCCTAAACTGTGACCTAATCGTATTAGATATGCTATAGTCTTTTGGACAATTATTAACTTTGCCGAAATATCTTAATTATCTCATTGGAATACAAAGTTTAGCTGTTGAAATAAACAATATTTATATAACAAATTATATTAGGATTCAGCCTAATTTGATAAAGGGGCAAGGACGAACAAGATGAGTCAATAATATTTTTGCATTAAGCTAAAGAGGAGGTATTATTTAAACCAATGTTTGACCATTACGCTAACATAAGTGGTGAGGTGGTTCAAAAATAGTTGTTTATTCCTTACGTATTCACAGTAACCTTGAAGGCCTCTTCCTATTTTGAAGGAAACACTTTTTTTTTCATATAATAATATGGCAAACAACCAAATGGTCACCTGAAATCGATCGAATCCGAAATGGCGAAGCGACCGCTGCCCATAGACATTAAATAACGGAGGAGGAGACGCACATATAAGGGATATTTTCCCTTCCTGTACGTCTCCCTATAACAATTTTTTTGACAAATGATCTTTCTATTCCAGGTGTTCGGCGACCGTCTTTTCGGTAGTTGGAGCTGGGTGATCCCGGTGTTCGTAGCTCTGTCCACCTTCGGCGGAGTAAACGGCGTGTTGTTCACCTCCGCGAGGCTGTTCGCGACGGGCGCTCAGGAGGGACACATGCCTGCGTTCTTCTCTTTGTTCCACATAGAGAGGCAGACGCCGATACCGTCTTTGTTCTTCACCGTTAGTATTTTTGACTTTTATTAAAGTTTGCTGTTATGAATATGGACGGCATATTTATTTATTTAAAAATTTCCAAGTGGTACATTTGACCTCATTTTAATCCTAATTTTTAGAACAACCACATCAGTTGCAAGTATTGATAATCTTTCTTACTGATATTATAAATGGAAAATGAATGGATGGATGTTTGTTAGTTTGTAATCTAAACGGCTTAACGGATTTCGATGAAATTTGGCATAGATGTAGGGAATAGTCTGGAATAGCACACAGCTGCTCACTTTTTTTCTTTTTTAATACATATTACTACGCGAACGGAGTCACGGGTGAGAGCCAGTAATGTTATAAATGCGAAAGATTAGATGGATGCACGTTTGTTACTTTGTAGCCTAAACGGCTGAACGGATTTTGATGAAATTTAACATAGATGTAGAGGATTGCCTGGAAGAACACATAGGCTACTCATTTTTTTTAATTCTACACGGATGAAGTCACGGGTGAAAGCTAGTTATTTATAAATAGAAAGAAAAAGAATGGAAGTCATACGAAATTCAGATAAAATCAACTTTTAATATTATTAACAGTTTCTTGTTATTAAAACTTTTCGCACTTTTACGAGTTTACTGTATATATATATGAACTTTTTCACCTACAAAAAAATTCTTCACGTATGTTTATAATGCTGATATTTCTTTTTATTTCCAGTGCGTAATCTCTCTTCTGATGCTGACAACAAGCAACGTGTTCGATTTAATAAATTATTTCTCCCAAACTCTGTGGTTGTCCGTCGGAGTGTCGGTTGTTGGTATGTTGTGGTTGAGAAGAACGAAACCCAATATACCAAGACCGATTAAAGTCAATATAATCATTCCATATGTGTTTCTGATCGCTATCGGTTGTCTTGTTATTGTTCCTGCTATTATGAACCCTCGGGATACAGGAATCGGTATTGCTATAATATTATCCGGTATTCCGGTATACTTTTTATGTGTTAAATGGAAGAACAAGCCGGAGAGTTACCACGCTTTCTCCGGCTGTCTGTTGAGGTTCATGCAGAAGTTGTGCTCCTGTGTGTACGTGGAAGCTGCGGAGAAGATGACCAGCTAAATCTATAACGACCAATAAATGACTAGAAAATTTGTTTGAATTTTAATGTGTATGTAATATTCCATTATAATACGGATTTTTAATATAATAAATTATTGGATAAAGATAGGATGGATTTGGGGATGTATAGGTATGGGACATTCTCTCCTGAGAGTCCCCTCTGATTATTAAAGGAAATGCATGTGCAAATGTCTATGGGCAGCGGTCATATTGCTATTTTGACGAATTCCGATGGCCGTTTGTCACCTTATATGCTATAAAATAATATTTATTCAATATTTATCTACAAAGAAAGCTTCGAAATATTTATAAGTTAAGGATATAAGTACCAAAATTGTATAATAATACAATATTAAATTGTTTATAAACGAATTGTACAAGAGGCTAATACTATTAAAATTTTACATTCATCTCATAAAACATATGTAAAAAAACATACCATTTTTATATTGAAACTTAAGCATTTTATACGTTACCAGAGGATTTCCACAGTCACATTTGTATTTTAAGAAAACATTTACTTTTATACAAGACCCTAAGCAGTGGAATTCAACTGTAATTTATATTTTTTTACAAGTCAGACTGAGCTATTTGTTGCCTTTTCTCTAAATGTAAGAAGACAATCTACATTAAATATGTAATAGTAAATAATTTTAGTGTTATGCCTTATTTGTTTTTGTAAATCTATTTATGAATTTAGTGTTTAGTTCTATACAAATGTAAATTTAATATAATTATAAATAAACAAATCATCTACAACACAAGTTAGATTTATTTAAATTGTTAAGGAAACTTTATCACTGTTCTGATACTGAAAAAATGTATACATACATATGATCGAAACTTTGTATTTTATCTAGCCAGTTAATAAAGTATATGACAAAAATGAGTTTAACTTTTTATTTTATGATAAAATTCTATTTACATGATCATTTTTAACAATAGAGCGCTCGAGGCCGTCTCCAGCAGATGATCAAGGGAGGAGGAGCTAGTAGTTTTTTTTTTAATTTCAAAGAGAATATGGTCAAGTCGTTTTCGGCATATAAGTATTTTAAGTTTTTTTTTAATCCGGAGCAGCACCAACAGTTTCTCTGAAAATTCTAGTAGAGTCTGACTACTGTAATTAGTTTTAATTTCATCAATGTGAAAAGGACCTATCTATTTTAAAATCAGTGTTTGAATATGATAGAATGTTACTGGCAGTTAATGAAATAGGAAGTGCATTAACTATTTACGAGTTGATTACAAATAATTTAGTGATGCCATATTTGACATATCGATTTTGAAATATTGGAAATGTTATCGGGAATTTAAGTTCGTATAATATTAATAAAAATGCGATTACTTAAATTATCATCAGCTTACAATTTACAACATGTTAGACATATAAAATTGTATGCACCATCATGTGGCCACCGTTGGTATCCTGACTTGAAATACTTGAATGAAATATCAGGGCCAACAATATTTAGAAACGAAGCCTCGGACAAATACTATAATGTGATTTACAATTCACTTGTACGACCAGTAGAGAGAAAGCTTCAAAATATGTTTATCAATTTTGGCCCGCAGCATCCCGCTGCTCACGGAGTGTTACGCCTCATTTTGGAGTTGGACGGTGAAACTGTTGTACGTGCAGACCCTCACATTGGTTTCTTGCATCGAGCTACAGAAAAATTAATGGAAAACAAACATTACAATCAAAGCGTACCCTTCATGGATCGCTTAGATTATGTATCCACAATGGCGAATGAGCAGGGATTCGTTCTAGCAGTCGAAAAGTTACTAAATATTGAAGTACCTCCGAGAGCAAAAGCTATTCGGGTTATGTGCGCCGAATTATCACGAATATCAAATCATTTGTTGAACATATCGGGTACGGTACTAGATGCTGGAGGTATAACCCCGTTTTTTTGGATGTGTGAGGAACGAGAAAAAATTTACGAATTATTCGAACGCGTTTGCGGTGCTCGCGTGCATAATGCTTATTTAAAACCAGGAGGAGTTACAATGGATATACCTGTAGGCTTTTTAGATGACATCTATGAGTTCTGCAGCAAACTCGGGGAACGATGCGACGAAACTGAGGATCTCGTTACTGGCAACAGGTTGTACTATGCCCGGACTGCTGGAATAGGAACAGTGAGTGCCCATGATGCAATCAATTTAGGCTTTACGGGACCAATGTTACGTAGTACTGGAGTGAAATGGGATTTACGAATTGCTTTCCCTTACGATGGATATGATCTATACGATTTTGATGTACCCGTTGGTACCTTTGGAGACAGCTACGATAGACACCTTCTGAGATTATTTGAAATGCGTGAGTCACTGAGAATAATAAACCAAGTCATCGATACTATTCCAGAAGGGGAAGTAAGAACCGACGACTCAAAAATATCACTTCCTCTGAGGCAAGAAATGAAAACATCGATGGAAGCACTGATACATCACTTCAAGCTGTGCACTGAGGGATATGTAGTTCCTCCAGGGGCTACTTACACGTCCGTTGAATGTCCTAAAGGGGAATTAGGTATATACATGGTGTCTGACGGCACATCGAAGCCGTATCGTGTTCATTTGCGACCATGTTCTTATAATCACTTGGCAGGTTTGACTATATTGGGTAAGAAGATGATGCTTGCTGATATAGCTATTATTATTGCTACTATAGATGTAGTCTTTGGTGATGTAGATCGTTAAGCAATGCACCTCAACAACAACTACAGGTTCGTCGCTGAAATACGGAATATTTACAGTAATTTTTAAATGTTCCTTGTGATTCTTATATTATAGTACAAAACTACAAAGATAAGTTGAATTTTTATTCCTTTCCAACTTTTATACTCGTTTTAGTAATTTTTGAGACTGCAAAAATTAAATTAAATATGCTTTAAAAAATTCAAAATTTTAAACGCAATTTTTTCGAACGGTATAAATTTTAGCTGTCACTGTCTTTGTCATTGCTTCAAAAGTCAAAGCTTCAAACACATTCAATACAAATAATCAACTCATTTACCATTTTTGTAAGTAGATTGCTACATGTTGAATGTGTTAATTAAGCGCTAATTTTTATAATTAAATTGCCAAAATTTTCGTGACACGCAAGTTTTAGAAGAATTGTAAGATATGTTGAGATTTGAAATTGTTTCATCAAGAACAGTGGAAGGCGAAGATAAAGACAAAAAGTTTGTAGCATATATGTTACAAGTGCGACAAGATGTTTCTGACTCAATGGTGTTTGATCCTGACCCTGCTAATGTGGAGCGACGGTATACAGACTTTTTGTGTCTTTATAATGGGTTGAAGAAGGATTTTCCAGCTTTATTGAACAATGTAACATTTCCAAGAAAGGTTTGTCGTTTTTTGTTTACTAATCCTTTGTTTACAAGAATCAATGTACTGGTGTAACTGACGTAGCATAATCATCATCGCTATAATTATCTTTTTATCATTGATTAATTAGATTTTGTTAGAATGACATCTCCTTTAAAATCTGTTAACTTAGATAAGAAAACATATATTTGCTCAATTATATATAATGTCTTTGTAATTTTGACCTCACCCTTATTTCGTGTTTGTATTAGTGTTGAGTGCAAAATACAACCTCTTTGGCTGACAAGCAGTATATATACAGCCAAAGAGGTTGCATACTGGCCACCAAGGCAATAATCGTTTATAAAAGAATAGATATAAAAGAAGAAGTCAAGAATGTGATCGATATAGTTTAGAGTTTGAAGTTTATTGTATTTTTTGTGTAAATAAGTTTTAAATAAAGATATGTTAGGTTAATAATAAGTGTTTTGTATTTTTGGCTGCCGCGCTGTCGGTAACAAGTTAAACAATTAGTATGTCTATAGTCATTCTTAAGTACAGATTTAGCATGAGCCAGCTGCATATAATTGTATACATTTGCAAATCATTAGGTTCAAAGGATCTTGTTTAGGCTTTTGGTACCAAAAATATTTAGGCACATTCATCAATAGCATCAATTTGAAGATGTATACAAGATTCTGAAGCAATATAAATGTACACACATTTATGCAGCTAACTACAGTATAGGTTTTTTATTAATAAGTTAGAATTTCAACTAAATTAAATCAAGTAAATTTTAATTTACAGATTATAATGGGAAACTTTGACCCTAATTTGATATCAACCAGATGTTCAGCATTTGAGTCATTGTTGAGTTTAATAGCCAATGAGTCACGGCTCAGGGATTCACCTGCGTCAATTGAATTTTTCCAAGAAGTTGAACTGAAAGAAGCCAAGAGACTGATAGATGAAGGCAAGTTTGATCAAGCACTATCAGTCTTGGAGAGCAGTTTTAAATTATTGAATAAGGTAATTTTTATGTATTGCATTTGCCTGCAAATCCATAACTGCGAATTTTGAAGAACAAAAGTGTTCTTCCAGACTATATTTTACAACTATACCAATTTTATTTGGAATCCTTTGAGGAGTTCTTGAGATACTTTCTAACAAACATCCATCCATCTAAGCTTTGGCGTTTATGTTATTAGTAAGTTTTGATTTAGCACTTTAGCATTTTTAGGCATTAATGGTAGATACATTGTAGTAAATTTTTTTTGAAAGTTTTAACGAAAAGCAGTTTTTAGTATAGTTTATATTATTCTTATGGTGAATTAGATTTGTCATAACTGTCTATGTTCTTAACATAATAGATAAATGTTTTTAAATATCTTACACAGTACATTACTGGTTGATGTAACAATGTTCTTATATGTTATGATAGATAATGTCACAATTGAGAGCAATACTAACATTAGTGTTGTTAACAGTGGTCACATGAGTAGATAAAGCATGAATTAGTTGCTGGCCATATATAGATAACATAAATACAACAGGACGTTTGATATGAAAAGCAATTTGTTAAGTTATTTTATATGTAAAATTAATTATTTTGTCATTGGGTATTATGCTAAGGTTTAAGTTGTTATGTAAGTTTCCACTATTAACATGTTTATATAAAACTAGCCTTTGCTCGCTACTCGGTTTGCGTGGATTTAAAAATAAATGAACAGCCTATGTGTTCTTCCAGACTATCTTCTACATCTATGCCAAATTTCGTCGAAATCCATTCAGGCTTTAGGCCACAAACCCTAATAAACATCCATCCATTTAACCTTTCACATTTATAATATTAGTAAGATACATTCTGATTATGTTTGAGAAACAATAACAACAGAAGACACTTTTTGTTTTGAAATTAGTACTTGCATTTAAATATCACCTTAATAATAGTAATTTTATAAATATGTTCCTATTCTATTCCTGTATGACTGTTATTGCAATTTATACCGCCTAAATTAAATAGCCCATAGACTGTCGTAAGTGTAGGGCTTTTTTTATTAAAATATAGTGTGATTGCTGTCATCCTGCGTAACAAAGAAATGTGTGTTTACAATTCTGTTCGTGTGGAATTCAAAAATACAAAAGCAAGTAGTTTATGTATTCCAGAATATGTTCTGTATCTGTTCAGATGTTTAGGTGAGAAACTCTAACACACATCCATCCATCAATGTAAACTTTTGCATTTATAAAATTAGTAAGATTGGCTTATATATTTTTACATTAATGTAATTGCAGGTGTATACAGACAGATCTCGCGTGGTGCTGAGCGTGCTGTGCCGCATGGTGGCGGTGGCGGGCGCGAGCGGCGGCGCGCTGGCCGGGCCCGTGGAGCGCTGGGCTCAGCTGGCACTCAAGCGATACCAAGCTGTCAGTGATTCTGATCTGTTGCTTATATATGTACCGCTGCTGTATACTTGTATATCTATTTGGTAAGTATAGTACTTATTTTTAGGATATTTTCGATTTACTTAAATTGTTTTTACTGCGGTGGAAGACTAAAGAAAGTATGAATGAATTGTGTGAAAGAGGATATGCTTAAGAAGGCAGTGGATTCGTGACGGTTGATAGAAGTGTATCGAAAAGCAGCACTTTCTGTGCCAACCTCTCTGTCGGGATAAGTGCAAGTTGATGTTATTTACTGCCGCTAATGTATATTATTCGACATTTAAATAATAACAGCATTTAAAATTAACTTAAACTCGGAATTCCATTTAAATTTTAACACCTGTCAGATTGTAAGAATAGCTTTTGAAGTAAAGTGTTTCAGATTATTTTTGATATACTGCCATGGGTTATTTAATGGTATTACTATATATTATACATAGAATATAGCGTTTAGTACACATATTTTTAAAACAGAGTATGAATGTTGACTATTTTTACTATGTACTAATTTTAATTACCAACTCTTGTAGTATTTATATATTAAATGTTAAGTTTACTCATTTTTTTATTTGATATTTCAGGGAAACACTAGGAAGGGATAAATCTAAATTAATTGAAGAGTTAAATGGTCTCCGCAAACGAGGTATGAAGGTGGATTCTGTTCCGAGTCTCATGGAAGCCGTTGACAATTTAATTATTATTTAATGTGATCATTTATTATATCGCTTTATGTGTAATCAAATTTAAAAGAATAATGTGATATTTAGAACCTGCTTATACTTATTAAGTCATTACTTTATATTTCTAACCTAAAATATTGAGTCAATTAACTTTATCCAATGTTTTTGGGTTTTTATTGCGTTTAATGCTTTAATATTTAATCATGTTTTATTTCTAGTATTTAATGTATTTTTAGCCTTTTAATATTTTAACAAAAGTAATGACAGCTTTTTTTTAAGGACTTATAATAGCCTTATTTCCAATAACTATTGTTGCAACTAAAGAATTTCTCAATGCTTAGTATATGTGCCTAAACCTAAGATGTAAGATTAGTGATTATTTAATATAAGAGTAAATATTTTGAAACCCATTTACGTGATATGTAAAATATCTGTTAAGTATTAAAGGTACAATTGATATTAAAAAAACGTTCTCATTGTGTGTTGCCAGTTTTTCTCGAAAAAGTTAGGATGAATAATTTAAAACTTTGTCTGCAATTTTTTTTTGAACTATCTAGTCATCTACTTTTGAGAAATGGCTATTATTTAATAATTGATATATTTATTATACTATTAAGTAAACAGTAATAATGATTAATCAGAAGAAACAGGAGTTTAAAAAAGACAACATAATATTTACACATTTTAATTGTCTTCAATATAATTTTAATGGCATGTGATTGATATTTGAAAAGAACATGCAATAATTTAATGAAATATCTATTTTTAAAAGATCTTTAGGACTAAAAGTAAAGAGATAAGTATGTTTTGAAATCATTCTATTGTTTTTAAATATACATTTGAATATGTACTTTTATATCTTAGCCGAAATTTTGTTTGAAATATGTGTAGAACAATATGTATTATTTGAAGATCTCTTATATTCTGTAAAAATGGGCACAAGTTTATTTTATAGCTGTTGCTTGCGACTTCGCCGGCGTGAGTGAATGAGAGGCAACAAATTTAGAAAAACATTTAAAATTTAGCAAAATGGATCTGATTCCTGTAGTGTAGGTTAACATCATCCACTTGCCCTTATCCCTTATGGAGGGTCGGCACAGTATGTGCTGCTCTTCCATACATCTCTATCAGCCGTCATATCTGAATCCACTCCTTTCTTAAGCATATCTTCCTTCACACAATCCATCCATACTTTCTTCGGTCTTCCTCTTCCTTTGTAGCCATCCACATTCAATCTCAACACTTTCTGGTTTATGTCCCCATCATTTCGTCGCATAATATGTCCATACCACGCTAACCTTTTGCTTCTCAATTTCTCCACCACTGGCGCTACTTTCAAACTTCCTCTAATGTACACATTCTTAACTTTATCCAATCTTGTCACACCACACATCCATCTTAACATACGCATCTCAGCCACATGCAATCTCCTTTCATCCGCAACTTTGGTGGCCCAGCATTCAGATCCATACAATATTAATACAATATAATTACAATATTTAACATGCGAAAATAAACATATTAGTAAAGTAGTTTACCAAAGCTATTCACGGCAGCAAAATATACTTGAATATAGAAATTAAAGTACACTTTATAAGCATAATATTTTAATAAACTGTGTGATAAATCAACTGTAATAGACACATTTGAAGACGGCATGAATATTTAACAATTTTATTGCCACAGTGGCAATATAACAATTAAATAACAATTTAACATTCATTTTTAAAAATCATACTGACGATTGTTATCAATTAATCATGGTGCACCAAGAACTTTTTTTGCACGTTCAAGAACAAACATTTAATATTTTCATTTTAATGAACTTTCATTAAAATATTAAATTAAATGATTTCGTTTTAATGAACCTTCATTAAAATGTTATTGAACATCTTCATTCTAATGAATGTTCAATCAAATTTTTAATATTATGATTAAATATATTTTTGTAATTGACAGCTATGTAATATTCGACTTTGCTAAAGTATAGCATAAAATCTGAAATTGATGTTAGTAAATACGTTAATTGTATGTTACTGTGGAAACCCACCGACGAAACATGTGTACATATAGCTGTTCCGCACCTTCCCTTTAAAAAAACAAAGACAACTGTTTAAATACAAGTGGATTTCCTTAGTAATGTTTGAACGTTATTTTATGTAACGTTTCTATGAACTGTTTGATATTGATCAGCGAATATTATTATGGTGACTGATAATTTATAAATTTATAGATTATTTAGAAAATAAATATATTTATAACTTTAATCGTTGTTTCATTATAAATACTTCTATTTAAATTTCCTATACCTTTAATAATTCCATTCTACATAGATTTTAGAGTAACCTAATCGTAATGAAGGACATTGTAAATACAGTGAATCTTTCCGAACGTTTCCTTCTAATGTATGTCTCGCTCTTTCTTTAACTTCCTCATGCTCCTTGGATCTGTGCTCGATTAATCTTATTAATATTATAAATGCGAAAGTTTAGATGGATGGCTGGATGGATAGATGTTTGAGAGTTTGTAGCCTAAACGGCTGAATAGATTTTTATGAAATTTGGTACAGATGTAGATGATAGTCTGGAAGAACACATAGGCTACTCACTTTTGGTTATTTTTTAAAATTCCACGCGGACGGAGTCGCGGGCGAAAGCTAGTTCATATATAAAACAATGTTTGAGTAAGAGTACAATTCAAAAAAACATGAACGCAATCTCAATAATGTTGATGAAAGCAATCTATTTAGTAAATTGATATGGGATTCACCAAAACAATTTGCCCGTCATAAACGTAATGAAATCGATGCCAATTACAACGCTAATGGAATAGAAATGTTTTTATATGGGAACTATTTCGGTTTGATTGCTTTGTTTTATCGGCATATGGTTAATAAAGGTATCCCTAATTAATTTCGTTGCTACTTAACGCGGTAATCGATTGGTTTGGCTACGGTATTAGCAGTTTTATGAATTACCAGTACATTAGGAAATTTTCCTATACATATTAGTATCCAAATTGTTGGAAATCCAATTTCCTGGACTAAGGTTAGTTATCAATTAGCGACTACAGTTTAAGTCCGTAAGTAAGTATCTGTAAGAAAAATTTGCTATTTCCAAAGAAAATAATCTCGTTTTGGATTAAAACAGAACACTTTTTGCGTTTTTTGTTTTCCTTGCGATAAAGCGACTATTCCTTTCGCTGAACTTTAGGGCCGATTTATTTATTTAAATAGTAGAAGCATTCATTACTAAGATGGCGGTTGATTTAATTACTGTGATGTACGATTCCTTTATTATTATTTACAAGCAAATTACTCGTAATATTTAAAAGGTAGACAAGGGTAACGTGATTTGAGTGTTCAAATTATCTAAAGTGATTGATACTTAGGAGTCGCGAACAACGGGCAACGAACCTCGACACGCAATGTCGCGGACCTCGAATCACCTAAATGGTTGGACTTCTATAACATAAACTTTTACAATCCTTAGGGCATCGTTTTGCGTTAAATTAATATGGATTTTAGCTTGTTATTAAGTTATTAACTAAGCGATACTTTGACCTACAGTTTTTGTATATAGTTATGCCTGTGAAAAGTGGAAACCCTCATTATGGTTTGCGAAGTAGGTACATACACAAGTGTGACCCCTTACGCTTACGAATTTTATGTATGGAAACATAGTCTTCAAGCGGCACTAAAGCAACAAAAGTGACTACGATGTCAAGTTTTAAGCTGGCGAGGTTGTTACAGCACGTCTTGCGCTGGTCATAAATCGAGCGCGGAGTTTACGAGGCCGCTCCGCAAATCGCTTTATATTTTCGATAAATAAAATTGGCGCGGCTTTTGCGAGGTAAGCAGAGGCCGTTAGGAACGCGACGCTCGTGCCGCCATCTGGCGCGCGCACATAAACCCGGACTACCCTCGTGTTTTCTTGCTGACTATTTTTTCCCGCTTCGGCCATTACGCAGCTGGGGCCGAGACAAAACGGCGAATCGTTTAAGCCCTCTCCGGAGACCGTATGATTTTATTGTGTGTACCGGAGTTGAAATTGATATGCCGCGCGAGTGGCCTTGCTTACGTCACACGTGACGGACACTCGGCCTCATCCCTACCCGTACCCTCACAAACGGCTGATAATATTACGTAGAAACAAAAACATACTTGTGAAATAGGTGTATTTTCCTAAGCAATATCTTTATCCCACTATTCATCACTATCAAAAACTTGAATACCAAAGATCTTTCCGAATCTCGATATTATTTCATAACATAAAATAACATTATCTATAGTATTTGACAGAAGAATTATCTACGCAATTTGTTTGACGCAAGTCAACAGCGCGGTGACATTTGCTGTATGATGTTGATTCAAAATTTGTACAATGTGATATAAAACATCGAAGGATGTCGAACACCAGTTCTGAGTTCGACTACACGGTGATCCTTTGCACCGCGGTGGTATTCGGTTTGCCGTTAGCGCTACTCATCCCCGGCTTCTCGATCTGGGACTTGGTGCCCAAGATCCGTGTGCAACGCTTCCATTTGCTGAGCCAACATCTCACTTGGTCCGTGCTCAATGGCGCTGTGATTATCATTGTGGTTGTCCTGTTCTGTCTATATTTGGAGTTTCGTAAACGAATGTGAGCATTTTAATATACTTTGTTAAAAAAATATTTACTTTAAGTACAGATTAATTTCTCTTTAAATAGGTCGGTTTTGCGGTTGTTATTATTCTAAATAGTTCTTTAATTTTCCGCTTCTGATAATTGTTTTGGTTCTAATTAAATAAATTTCCCCATTATTAGGTTTGAAAGCCAATATCATCATTAAGAAGACACTCATCTTAAGATACTTAAAAAGGGCAAGAGTAGGTATATAGAAAACACAAATACTACAATAATACTTTGTGGATGCAAGGACATGTTTTCTTACAATAAAGTAGTCTGTCGTTTTCTTCATCAGATTAGACGCAATGACAGAAGAAGTGTTCGCGGTGCGTCAGGCTACCATACGTACGATGGAGGCGGAAAACGATCGGCAGGCGGCCACCATAAGAGCCTGCGCAGAACTACTCGATGCCTCCAGTGACCACTACGAGAACCTCGTTCTTCTTTATGACGAGCTTAGGCAGAGAGACAGGAGACGAGATCACCCACCCATCATAGAACTCGAATCCAGTGAAATTAATTTTTGAAAATAAAAAAGCTTTATTTACTTTTCATTTTACTTATAACTAAAGTTTTGTCAACGCTCAGCATGCAATCCACGATGGAGTTTTTGTGCATTTCATGATGAGTCTCGGCTCCATTTCTCCACATTTTTCTTCTAAAGACATTTGATTCTCGTATCCTTTTATCTACCAATCAATTATATTATGATCATAAAATCGACTTACTTTTGTTTAAAAACGTGTGCTTTTACTTATTTCACCACTTAAATGGTGACATTGTTGCGTCCCTCTGGTTAATTACGCCTGGTGTATCAGTGTAAAAAGGCACAAAAGGTAATTAAGAGGTCTGCGAGGGCGCGGGCGAGGAGCGGGCCGCAAAATTTTTATTTCAACCTCGAGCCAGACGTGTTCATTAGACCAAACGTCTCGGTCGCCTCATGGGAGGTTGTTGACGCGAAAAAACCAATCTAGAGCCGGCAATTACGCTAAATGACCTAATTAGATGTCGTTGCAGTGCGCTCGAGTCGTATTCAGTCGAGAGTCTTGTAAAATATTGGGCGACGTTGAATTCTATCGTACTTCTTTCATATTTAAACACATAAGAATTATTGTATTGAATTCCATATTTAATGAAATACAGCAAAATCTTTCATTGAATTTATTTCACGACTTTCATAGTTAGTTTTCATTGTACTACGGGATGTTTTTTTCATTCAAGCTGGCATTTCAAGATATACAAGTTGACACGTGGATCGCGCTCAGCCGGCACTTGCGTTCGCCTCGCGTCTTCCTCCATTCTCATCTCGCAGCGAGAGAGGATCAGGCGGTCGCAAAAATAAATAAAACTGTTATTGAGATAAGCATCTGCGCAGGGCTTCTGCTAAGTCCCGCCGCGCCGCGCTAGCGATGTACCGAGATATGTCCGGATTAGGCGCTCCGCTACCGCCCGCCGCCCGCCGCCCGCCG